GTGAGACAGCCATGTTCTCACCAGGCCTTAGTCTTCTCTTTCTGAAAGTGGGTCTATTACCTCCTTCCCAGGGTGCTATGAGGATCTAACACAGAGAATCATATGTCTACCTCCATGCCCTGGGTTCCCCTTCCAGTTGGGCATGGTGGCTCATGCCTAGTCTCAGCACTCAGGAAGCTGAGGCAGGAGGATTGCTGGGAGTTTGAAGCCAGCTTGGGCATTATACTGCATCTGCGGCTAACCTAAGCTAGAATGAAATCTTGTCTCAATCAATCAATCAGTGAACAAACAAACAAATGAATAATAAATAAATAAATGAAAGAAAGAAAAAGGAAAAAGTTGCTCTTTTTGCTGAGCTGAAGGGGGAAACCAAGGCTGAAGTCTTCAGACCCCAGAGCACCAGGGAGCTCTTCTCCTGGGCCCTTCCTTTCAGGATCCACCTTCCTGCCCCTCCCCTCCCCTTCCCAGTGAGTCATTGTCACAGGACTGCAGTGTCCAGGGGTTCCCCTGCTCTGGGCCCCTGGCTACCCAGTGAATTACAGTCCCTCACCTTGTTAACCAACAGCCAGAGCAACAACACACGCTGGTCCTATGACCAATCCTGTACTTTCGTCCTGCCAGAAGGGTGGCCCAGAGCAGGACACCTGTTGTCCAGATGGCCCAGCTTCCCTCTTGAGGTGCCAGCCTCCTCCATCAAAGCAGCTATACCAGGAGAAGACCCCAGTGTCTCCAGACCTGCTGCTCTGTGCTGTAGCTCCCGAGGCTCAGAGACCCACAGTTCTCAGTTGATCAGTGGAGAATAGCCACTGTCACAACGACCAGTCTGTTGTCCCTGGTGGCTCCTGGGCAGATGAAAAGCTGGCCTCCCTTGAGGGCCAGCCATCCACCAAACTGAGTTTAAGGGCTATGTGCTTGTGGACAGAATTCCTCTTTATTATATCCCTGTGAGAGAGGCACTGTGCATTTCCCCATCCACAGGTGAGGAACCTGAGACTCTGAATCCTGAGCTTCTGCTGTTAAGAGAGCAAGTGAGCCAGGCTGCATGTAAGCTCTCCCCAGCTGTGAGATTCTGCTACTCTGGCCAGGGCAGGCTGAGCTCTCCTAGGAAGATGAAGGATGGCTGGGCATGCGCAAGTTTGAGAGTGACCTTGGCACTGCTGTGAGAGCTCCCAGAGACAGGTGCACTTCTCAAACAAGGAATCCATGGTGAATGATGGCAGACTGGGGAGGGAGAGGAGGAGGGTGGGTGAGGCTGGACTGGTGCTGTTGGTGACTACTGAAACCAGGATGGATGTGTGGCTCATCCCACCACTCCTCGTGTCCTGTGGTTTTGTGCCTTTCCATGTGAGAAGCTTAAGATTTTAAAGTAAAATGAACTGAAATCTACTGCGTGTTAATGCTGATGGTCAACTGATTGACTGAGACAGCTCTATTCATGAAGCACGACTTGTCATGTGTGAGGGTGTTTGTAGAGCCCTTTAGGTCAGGAGGGCACTGACCTGATGACTGAATGAATCCTAAATGGCTTCAAAGTGTAAATGGACCATTGTAAGGTGACACAGCTGTGGAGGGCTGACCTTGGCTTGAGGACCTAGGTGGCTGGGGGTATGTCTTCAGGGATGTATGTTGCCCTGGCCACTTCCTGCTGTTACTCGTTTCTTCCTGCTGGTCGCCCACACCCCTTCCAGCAGGATAGGTTGAAACCTCCAGAAAAAAAAAAAACTGAAAAAAAACCTACGAATCCAGGAGCAAAATAAATTTTTCCTCTCTTATTTGTGTTAGGTATTTTTGTCATGGCAACAAAAAAAGGTAAATAACACATCCACAAATACTGTAAGGCCTTCCCAGTCCCTTCACCCTCAGCTCTGCCTCTGAGAGCTTTCCAGAGACAGGCTCGTGACCCATTGTCTTTTTGCAACTTTCTGTGGTTTGACTCTGTTATCTTCTCTGACTGAATAAATCCAGTATAAAATAAATTTACTGTAATTTTAAAATTATGGATATGATCCTACACAAAAAATTGTATGGGATATCTAATTCTTCTTTATCCATATGGCTCTCAACTCTTTGGAGAAAGTTTCTGTGCCCAGTGAATTTCTCTATACTCTTTGAACCGTCCTTTAGCCCTTAGGCTTTTCAGACATGTTTGCCTTGTTAACGCTAATTAGACATTGAACTCTAATTAAAATCAGTGAGAAATGGACACATTTCATTTATGCTTTGATTATTTGTACAGAGTAACACACCAAATTAACATTGTATTTCAAGTTAATTAAGGTAAAGGTCATCCTCACCTCCTCTGCTGGCTTCTTGTTTGGAACATGAAACCAAGAAAAGTCTTTGGTAAAGAGAAAACAAGTACAAATCACTCCCCAGAGAGACAGCAAGGGCTGGCGCATACCATCCTGCTTCCGTCCCGCTTCTCCCAGGACCCGCTCAGTGTGCAGATCTTGCCTCATCTCCCTATCTGCTTTAAGTTTATCTCTTCTCAGAGCATGGCCAGCTTCTGGTTTATGCCTTGCTTTGGGGAAACATGGACAAGTGCTTCCGTGCATAAAAACATTCATGTATGAGTGTTTTCATGCATGGGTATTTTCATGTATGTCTGAAAAGCCCAGGAAAGGCCATCGGGAAATAAATGATGTTTGAAGAAATCAAAGGTCTGCTTTTCTATTCCCCACAATGCTGCCCGACAAGGCAATACTCATTCATATCTTTCTAGCCAATAGAGTGAATAGTAGTTAGGACGCTTACTGAGTGTTCACATGTGCTGTGTGTTGAGTGGACACTTCCAGCTATTATCTTGGTAAGCCCTTTCCATATCCTACAGCATGTTTTGGGCAGGCTAAGTAAAAGCCCAAAGTCATTCAGCTATGGGGTGGCAGAGCTGGAAGTTGAACACTTCTTGCATTTTCTAAACAGGAAACCTATTGAGGCACTCAAGGTACATTAATATATTGACAGAGATTTCACGGCCAGGATCCTTGAAGGGGAAAATGGCCCTACTCTGCTCTGACAGACACATCTGAGCAACATGCTTGGGGCTGAGCCCCTCTGAGAAAAGGCCAGGGGTGACTGTGGTGGAAAGTGGTCTGGGATGGAGGGAAAGAGCTCCTGGGGGGAAGAAACAGATACTACAAAGGTAGGGGGTATATGATGGGCCAAGTCCCTTAGGCACAGACTGCAGGGCCAGTTGCTTGCCTCCTGGGGATATTTCTGGACATTCCATGGGAGCTGTAGTCCAACTGCACAGCCAGTCCCACAGCACAGCCATCCCACCTGCTCATTCTTTGGAGTCCTCATCCCACCTGCTCATCCAGGAGTCCTCACCTCAGGAATTGGAGCTATACCCCTCAGCCCACATCACATACCCAGAGTCACTCTCCCTGACTGCCTTCTTCCCCAGTCCCTGTGGAATCCACTCATCTGAACGCACCGGCAAACCAGTCAGCCAACACCTCCACTGAGACCACATAGTAGCCTCCTACTCCATCCCAGCCTGTCCTTTGCCTGTACCAGAGGGACCTTCCCAGAAACCCACATCTGACTGCTCACAAAGGCGTGGGTTCATCTCACAGGCCTATGCCTCAGGTTCTCCCACAGGTGAGAGGCTGGTTCTCCTGGCCTCTCCAACTCCAGGTTCCCTTCCCACCTCCCCTAGAGACCCTGGGTCCTCTCTGTCTACCTGTCCTCCTTAAGTGGCACTGCCTTCTGTCTCCACCGGTCCCTCACTGGTCTTCTTTGGGACTCCTTAGCACTCTGAGCAGACTCTATGACACCAGAAGGCAGAGGAAGCTTGCTGTCTGTTTTCATTCTTGATCTGAGTTCTCAGGTCAGAGTGAGACTTCCCTCTCCCCAGTGCTCCTTGTTCCTGGTTCCTGTTCTCCTCTGAACCTCACAAAGCTGTGGTTTCATCTCACTCCTGTCAGAATGACTGTTATCAGCAAGATGGCAGAAAACAAGTGCTGATAAGGATTGAGGGGAAAGACCTTCATACACTGTTGGTGTAAATTAGCACAGCCATTGTTGGAAATGACAGGGAGCCTTCCCCCCAAATTAAAAATACAAGTACTTTATGATCTAACAACCTCATCAGTGGGTTAATAGACAAAGGAAATAAAATAGCATGTCAAGGAGACACCCTCACTCTTGTTGACTGCAATAATATTCATAATAGTTAGGATGTGGAGTCAACTTAAATGTCCAAAAATGGATGAGTGGTTAAAGAAAATTTGAGTCATCCACACAATGGAATACTATTTAACCTTCAAAAAGAAGGAAATCCTGTCATTTGAGACAACATGGATGAACCTGGAGGACATTACAAGAAGTGAAATGAGCTGAGCACAGAAGGACAAAGAGCTAATGATCTCATCCATATACGGTATCTAAAAAAGGCTGATCTCACACAAGGGGGTAGGACAGAAACCAAGAGAGGGAAGAAGGGGGGAGGATGGTGAGAGGCTGGCTACGGTTACAAAATTACAGTTAGGACGAGTACGTGCTGCCGTTCTATGACCCAGAAAGCTAACTATAGCTAACAGCCAGCTATGCGTTTCAAAACAGCTAGAAGAGGGGTTTGGAACATTTCCATCACAAAGAAATGACAAATGATTGAGGTTTGTGGTTGGATCCGTGTGCCAGACACAAGACATCAAAGTACACCCCATAAACTTGAACAATTATAGAATATCAATTAAAAGATTAAAGCTGTGGATGAGAAAGGACAGAGGGACGGATGGGAGGAGTACCGAAGCTAGAAACCACAGCGTGAAGATTAGAACTCAGGGCCCTCTAACTCTTATCTGAGCTCAGCCCACTCACTGTGCCTCTGAATTGACATGAAGGTTTCCTACCATGGTTCTTTCTTTGCATGCCTACCTGCCTGCATGTTAGCTAGTCCATGTGCTCCTCCCAAGCCTCCCTTAATTACCGAAGACAGCTGCCTTAGGACACGGTTGTTGGATTTGACCTGTCTAGGCCCAGCCTCTGACCCTCACCTCGCATTGGTGGCAAGCATCTTGCTGGGGAAGTGCTGTGCTGACACCGCCCTGGGTGGTTCTCTGGTCCTCTGGGCTCTTGGTTACGATGGCATCTGATGAGCTGGTGATCTGTCCAGTTGGCTCTGCTGATCCAAAGACTCAGCAGAGGCAAACACCCTGTCAAACATTTACCTGGGAAGGAAAGCAGGCGGCAGCCGACTTCCGGGTTTCACAACACCGCTGCCTGCTCTGCTCTGCCTCCCCTTCACACGAGGCAGGAGCCAACACTTCTTTCTGTCCTTGTTGCTTCTTCCCAGACCTGGCTGCTGTCACTTCACCCCCACAGCCACCCCAGTCATGGGCCCCGGACCTGGAGCTGTGGGGCTTTGCCCAGCAACTGTGCATCTTTGGCTAGCAGTGAAAAAATTATTACAGGTGATAAACTAGGCCTCTGCCTCCAAGCCACAAACTAGGACCATCAGCTTAGAGGTTCTCCTTGGTCACAGGCAGCTTGCTGGGGGAAGGGCCTGGGTTCTCAAGTCACATGGCAGAGCTGGCTACCTGTCCCGCAGGGCTTCCTGCTCCCAGGACAGAAAAGAAGGTTGTTACTGGGTGACTCTTCCCCACCAGGGCCATGTTCTAGCTCCCCTGGTATCTAGGAGCAAACACCTGACATGGGTTCCCGTGGGGTGTTTCCTGGAGTGCTGGGGGCCACCTCTGTGCAGCATGGCGAAGGGCTCAGTGGTCTTTACCACCTCTCCTCTCCATCTGTGGCAAGACTCTAAGGGTTCACAGGAGGGGGAATCACAAGAGTGAAGGAACCTGGGTCCTTGAATCACCACGAGGAGGAAACTGGCCCCTACATGCTGTCCTCTCACGGCCTAGCCCACCAACAAGAAAGAAAGTGGTCTTCTAACCAGTCAATGACAGGTGGTGCTGACCAGACACCAGCTCGCCTGACCCTCTCTAGCACAACCTAGAACACAAAGGACTTCCTCAGAATGGCAAGGTCCAGGTCCATTAAGAATAAGGCTTCAGATCAGTTTAATGACCTCTTTAAATGTGCCATCGCCAAAGATGGTCACATTCTAAGTGCTGGTGAGTACATGCTTTGGCAGCTGAACTCGGACCCTAACTGGCCAGTCTAAACAGCTATGGTGGAGAGGGGAGGGTCAATCTTGAGGAACAGTGAGCAGGCATCATCACTGATGCCCTAGACGGTGGTGTCACCCACCTCATCCCTCCATCCCTGCCTGGATACCCTTACCCGCTCCTTCAGTGCTCTCTTCTTGGCTTAGCCACATCCCTTTCCCGCTGTGCAGGTGAGCCTTCTGAATTTGTGGAATGCAATAGGTGCAGTGGTTCGGAGTGTAGAATTGGGAGGCAACCGGACCACTAGCTAACTGTGCTAACTAGCTAAACCACACTGTCAGCCTCTGAGCCCCACCATCTGACCTGAGATGAGATGCACCTGTGTTATGGACGCATGCTGTTGAAATGAGCTAAGACACATCAGAAGTGTAAGAAGGTGCCTGACACACAATATGCACTCATGAGCACCAGCTATTAAAAGAAACCTACTATGTGCTCAGCACTGGCTGGGATGCTGAGAATACATCACATCACAGATACTGACCAAGTCCCAGCACTCCTGATAGATCATAGTGGCTCAGAAGCTCAACACAATGTCCAGGCTACAGGTGAGACTCCACAAATGCTTGCTCTCAAAATAATGATGAAGAAAGAAAGACAAAAAAGGGAGTGAGAAGACCCAGTGCAATACTGCTCTCTTCCAGGTACCTGTGAACACGGAGGCATGCGAACACTTCCTGTGAGCCCAGCTTCCTTGGAATGGCACTTTTCCAGCATCTGTGCCCCGAGGGTCAGAGGGAAGAACCCCAATGCTCCTCAGCTAGGCCCTCAGAGAAGCCATCTCTTCTAGAAGTGCCCACTGGTAGGTTCCTGCCAGCTTGGCCAGGCTGCGAATGGATTTGTTGCTCTGCTCTTGGATGACAGTGTGACTCTCCTCACAGTTCCTCTCCTCAGACTCTTAAGAAAAGGTCATTGTTGAATTGTCACGGGCCCAGAGGATGTTGTGAAGGTGCCTAACGCAGAAACACTGAGACATTTGTTCCAAGGTACTTAAATTCTGGTAAATTTCATCTGTAGCAACAAGAACCCATTTTGATGGGCTGTGGTGCACCTGAAGTGGCCCCTTCCCTCCTCCCTGCAACCACCAAGCTTTCTCCAGTTCTCTGAACCACTCTTTGTTGAATCCGAACCTAGAACTTGACATGTGTCTAGAACATTTATTTCCACATTTGATTTCTCTTCAGAGTGCTAACCTATAGAACAAGCCTTTTTGAATACTGATTCTTCTAGTCAATGAATATATCATATACATTATATGTATGTGCTATATATACACATATACATTATATATGTATCTTTTGGACCATTCGAAGGCTCTTTCTGAATTCGCACAGGTTACTGATTTTAAAAGAGCACTGTGTATAGCAGAGCTCTACAGTAGTCCACTACATACCTCTTTCCAGGCACTAGAGGGGTGCTGCACATGCACAGAGTGAGGAGAGCCATGATGGACTCCACCTGAGCCCAATAGGATGAGTCACTGTCTTTGATCCCTGTGTTTAGGGTTCAGAGTGTAGGTGTTGCCACAGAATGAAGCTGAACGGCATATCACAAAGACTGCGCTTGTTTCCGGAGAGTTGGGAGCTTGTCACAAGATGGCCTCTATTCCATGTGGAAATACGACTTCGTTATTAAATTCAGAAACAAAAGAACTCAGATATGTGAAAGGCCTAGTGTGATTTTTTTTTTTTTCAGTTTGAGTGGTGCTGACGGCTTCCTGGGGTTGGGAATGACCTTTGACTGGGGCCTGTTGCCCCTTGAGAGAGAACGAACTGATTTATTGTTGGCTTCCAGGGAGGGGGCAGCATTTTGCAATTTTGCACCTTTACCTAGACAGAACATGGAGAGTAAGGGAGAGAGAATGACTGCACCACAGATAAACCCTATGACTGTGCCTCACGAGGACAGATGGGCGGAAGTCCTGCAAAGTCACTTCTAGAACACTAGGAGCAAGAGCCACTTAAACTAAAGGACAGAAGGACAGGAAAAAGGGCCCTGGGCCCGAGTACCCAGAAACCTGGGCTCTCACTCCTGCTCTGCCCTAAGGACTGCTATGGTTTGAATATGGCTTGGTCCCTCCAAAACTTGTGGTGAGCTTTGCCCCTGTGATGTTGTGGGATCTGGCTAATTAATGCCTTTCTCAGATTCATTTTCACTGGGTGGATCAGTTCCTATGAGACCTAGTTGTCATAAATATGTTCCCGAGTTGGGGATATAGCTCAGTTGGTAGAATGCTTACCTGGTATGCAGGAGGCCCTAGGTTCCATCCCCATTACTGCATAAACCAGACATGTTGGCTCAGGCCTGTAATCTCAACACTTGGGAAGTGGAAGCAGGAAGACCAGGAGTTCAAGGTCATCCTTGACTACTTAGTGAGTTCTGGGCTGCATGAGACCTGTCTTAAAAATTAAAAACAAAAAAGTAAAGCAGGAGCTGGAGACATGGCTCAGTGGTTAAGAGTGCTTACTGCTCTTACTGCAAATGACCTGAGTTCAGTTCCCAGCACCCGCATCAGGTAACTCACAACCACCTATAATTCCAGCTCCAGGGGATCCAAGGTTGTCTTCTGTCCTCCACAGGCACCTATACTCACATTCACATACCTACCTACCTACCTACCTACACACACACACACACACACACACACACACACAATTAAAAAATAATAAAAAGAAATAAATTGTTTAAAAAGTAAAGCTCTTAGCCAGTAAGCAGTCCTCCTCCATGATTTCTGCTTCAGTTCCTGCCTTTCAGTTCCTACACTGAGTTCCTGCGCTGGCTTCCCTTGATGATGAACTATAATCTGTAAGCTAAAATAAACTCTTTCCTTCCTAAATTTCTTTTGGTCAGTGAACTGGCTCAGCAAACCTACCTAAGGTACTGCATTTTGTTCAGAGTCATTTCATTAGCAACTTTGCTCCACACCAAAAGGAAAAGGGGAGCAACCTTAGGTCTTGGGAAATTGTCCTAGCCATGAACCATGAATGTGCTAATTCCAGACATTATACAGCTGGCTAGCCAGCTTGTTTTCGCTTCTGTAATCTGCTTGCTATCTTGGGTCACCTTGACACAGGGCATAGACCGCCCTTGTTGTCCTGTTATTGTCTGACCACCGGTAACTGCTGATTTCAGCTTTCTTACTATGCTTGTTATGGCTAGGAAGTTGACTAATTCTAAAATTACAAAGTTGATTGCCAAGTTATATGACTGTGTCACTTGTCTGTATAATGATTGGTTGTTGATTAATAGATTTAAAGTTCTATGTTGTACAAACCTGATTGGTTCACAAGTGTCCCGTTTGAATAATATTTCTGCAATCCTATAAAAACTCTGACCCAATCATCAGGGCTGCTTCTACTCCCGAGACAGACAGCCCGGCTGGTCGAAAATTAAAATTTACCTTGCTACTTTTCTTAAAGTGGTGTTGGTGATTTTTTTACGAACTCCGTCCTGTAACAGTCAGTGTTTATCAAAGCAAGAGAAAATGAACTGGGCAATGCCATAGAGAGAAGCCGACCGTTCCTTTTCTCGGCTGTGAAGTGCTACAATTTAAGTCTGTCACATGTTTGCTCAAACCATCCTCTAAGCGTTCTGCTATTGGAGATAATGATAATAAAACAGTAAAAACCTAAAAAAGAAAAAAAAAGTAAAGCTCTTGTAGAGGGCCTGGGTTTGGTTCCCAGCACCCACGTGAAGGCTAACAACGGTCCCTAACTCCAATTCCAGGAGATCTAATATCTTCTGATCTCTGTTGGCATTGTGCGACACATGTGCATTTACAAACATGCAGGTAATACCTTCATACACATAAAATAAACTTAAAAATAGAATAAATAAGGTCCCCTGGTTGTGTGGCTCTGTCACACACATCACTACCCTTTGCTCCTTTGCTTTCCACCATGAGATGAAGCTCTCCAGAGGTGGAGAAGATTCTGGCACCGTGCTCATGGACCTCCCAGGCTCCAGCGACGTGGGCCAAAAT